ACTATTTTATGCCATCATTGCTTTCTGCTGTCCCTAGATTAATCACACTTTTCTGGTGCCAAGGACTTCAGTACAAACACCTGTTTTTAATATAAAAACAATGTAAGTTATGAACAAGCAACCTACGGAGAGAAGGATTATATAGACACAATTTTCCCATTTATTGGCAAAACTACATATGCCAGAGGTGGGTTTCAGCAGGTTCTGACCAGTTCTGGAGAACCGGTAGTAGAAATTTTGAGTAGTCCAGAGAACTGGTAGTAAAAATTCTGACTGGACCCACCCCTATCTATTCTTTGCCTCCCAAGTTCCAGCTGATCGGGAGGAAATGGGGATTTTGCAGTAACCTTTCCTGGATATGGGAGGGAATGGGGATTTTGCAGTATCCTTCCCCTGGAGTGGGGTGGGAATGAAGATTTTATAGTATCCTTCCCCTGCCACACCCACCAAGCCACGCCCACCAAGCCATGTCACGCCCACCAAGCCACACCCACAGAACTGGTAGTAAAAATTTTTGAAACCCACTACTGATATATGCACTGTCTTGTACACATTACACACACATATAATCGGTATGCTTTACCCAGTTTCCTGTAAATGAACCAATCAAAATTCCACATTTAGAAGGGATATTCATTTATCCCTCTAGCCTTTGATCATATTGCCCAAACATACCTACAGCACATGAAAGCTGGATTGGATCCTAGAACAACGGGTTGCTTACTAGCTTCAGTGGATGTAGACAGACAGTATGAGAAATTTACTGCTGTCCCCAAAGCATCAAACAACAATTTTTTGAAGAGTAGTTGTAGACCAAATACCATAAACCCTAATAGGAATGTTATTGTATTGGTGGTGGTTTGTTTTAATTGCACTGTTGCTGTTGTTTTGTTTTACTGTTTGCTTTACTGTTTGCCACCCAGAGTTTATTAGGTGTTGCTTGGAAATGCTGTCAAATAAATATAAGGCACAACATTTTTAAAACATTCATTTATATGTTGTTATTAGTCCATTTGCCTGTTTAGAACTTGATTTTACTCCTAAAGTGTATCTCTAGTTGCAGTATGGAACACCTTTGTATTTTGATGAGTTAACTGACATACAAGTAGTCCTTGACTTGCAACCGTTCATTTAATGACTGTTTGAAGTTACAATGGCAGTGAAGAAAGTGACTTATGCCTGGTCCTTGCACTTATGACCACTGCAGCATCTTCACAGTCTTGTGGTCAAACTTTGGGTGCTTGGCAATTGTACTTACGACAGTTTTGACCATATTAAACAATCATGACGAGCAAAGTCAAAGGGAGACTATGATTTAATGAACACCTAACGTCCTAATGATTTCCTTAACACAATGACAACAAAGGTTGTAAAACTGAGCATGATTCACTTAATAACCGCCTTGCTTAGCAATGAAAATTCTGCTCCCAATTGCGATCATAAGTTGAGACCTATCTGTTTTTTTGATTTCTCCTTCGTATTAAGGAAATTCTAGAAGTTCGGAGTTCATTCCAAGCTATATTTAACCTACTTGTTTTTACTGTTCCTTGATAAATAAGGGAGGAAGAATTTTCAAACAGCTGAAGATTGTTTAGGCGAGCACTGGCTTATCAGAATGATCATTTCCATTTCAGAATTATACACTATCTGGTCAAGGCCAGAACTTGCGGTCTGGTGACCATGGAAGCAGGGCCATGAAGTCTTGGTGCCAAGATTTAATAACACTGAATGTTCATTAAGCTTTGTGCCTCTGCACAGGCTTGTAAAGTCAGCGCTGTCATCCCTGGCCTTGGACTATCTCTGTTGCTTGAAATGGGCCTCCCTGCAGCTGAAGGAAAACCATCTTGCTTGGAATGTTATGCTTTTTTGTGTTTCTATTTAGTTCCTGTTATGGTTAAAGTTTGAAATCTCCTTATCCACTGGTACGTTTATTTTTCTCTCCAAATGAACCAATAGTCTGAACAACTGATCACTTGGCAACACAATGCCTAAATTCTATTAAAATAACTTAAAATTTAAAATTCTATTAAAATAATTTTGTGCTTGTTTATAATGACAGAAGTATGTCCAGTGTTCAACATGTTCCTTCAGAGGTTTGTGCCTCTTTCCAACACTATGCCTCCTCAATAGGAATTTGTTCTGTAGCATCTCCAATCAAAGAATGTAACTAAGTAAAGGAACTTCTGCTTTGCAGTCAAAAAACATCAGACTTAATTTTGAATATCTCCTGGTAGGTATAGAAAATTTGCAGTGAAATCTGGGCAATAGTGGCAGTATTTGGCTAGTTGGATGGTTGCAGTATTCTGGGGCCTTATGATCACCTTTTGTGATGTTCTTACAAACAAAGAGAATGGGAAGCCAGATTCACTTAATAACTATGTTACTAGCTTAACAATTGCAGTGATTCATTTAACAACTGTGGCACGAGAGGTCATAAAATTGGGCAAAATTCACTTAACAAATGTTTCGCTTAGGACCAGAATTTTTTGGCTCAGTTGTGGTCATAAATCAAGAACTATCTGTAATCTAGTCTCTATAAATTGCTAGTCTTATTGAAGCATACTTTGGATTAATGTACATTTTGGAAGTAATTTGTACTTTGTGTGAATGCAAGCTCTCTATTAAAGCAGTGTTTCTCAAACTTTAAAATGGGTAGACTTCAATTACCCCTGCTGCAGGGATGAAATCTACTTACCTTCCCTACTGGTTCGGAAGTGCGCCCTCTGTGTGCGTGCACTCTTGGATCCTCTGCACATGCGCAGAGGGTCAAAAACAGGTTACTTCCTGGTTAAAACCAGGAAGTAACAATATCTGGGCGGGTGGGCAGAGCCTTGCGCTGCCACTGCTACCGGTTCTCTGAACCACGTGCTGCTGCTGCTACTGGTTCTCCAAACCACGTGCTGCCACCGAACTGGTCCGAACCGGTAGCATTTCACCCCTGTGCTGGAATGGGGACTTCTGGGAGTTGAAGTCCACCCATCTTAAAACTTTGAGAAATACTCCTTTAAAGCTTCCATGTGAGGTTGAAAGGAATTGCTGCTGTAATTACTGCTTTAAGGAATCCACTTATCAGAGTGCATGTGATCCTTAAAAGCAGTGACACTGTTGCCAGCCTTGAACAGAAAACTGCAAGCAGCTTTTCAGTGAATACCAATGCAAGATTGGATTTCTTAATCATTTCTGAAGCATACCTCACTGCATATGAAGAATATTTCTCTTCTGCCCCATTTAGCAAGGTCTCGTTTGACTAGAGTAGTAATAGAACAGCCAGGCTGTGTTTCCACCCCCTGTCCTAATAAAGCAATACTATCCCCTTTGGCTTATGCTGGGTGAAAAAAAAGAGAGGCTTTATTTGCACTGCCAGTGAAGCATCTGTTTAAGAGGCATGTTCAAGTTACAATTATATTGTCATCATGGCTCTTGAAACTTACCTTGTTGCCTCAATCCAGGTTGGTCACCATTTTGCATTTAACAAATTAGTAACCAAGCTCTCATATTACACGAGATGAACGCTCTCCATTCTTAGGACTTAATCTTAAGGATTCCAGGCATATTGTAAGAGCAAACTTATTTACTTTGCCTCATTTTAAACTAGGTCTGAATTCTGGATTATGTTTCTGTTGTATATAAACCAAAGTTTGTATTACACAAACACAGCAAACTGTAATTAAATTTAACTGGATTATTGAAATCATCTAAATGTGACTTGTGAATTTGTGCTTTTCTCACCAATTCATCTAAAACTATCCTCTTTCACACAATTGTATCAGAAGAGGAAGGCTCAGTAAAATGCATTGTCTCCAATTTATGTACCCTTAGCCTTAGTACAGCAGTTCATGGGGTTGGAATGTTAAGATGATTTTAGTAAAAATAACATCCAGTTCCTGTTTCATTCTTTACAACAGCATTCATAAAATTAACAGTAGGCTGCAATTTGAAAAGTAGATCTTCAAATTGCAGCAGAAAGGAATAAAGAGAACTTTTTGAGAAAAAAAAGTTTATAAACGGCTTGCTGTAGAATTTAATTAACAAAGCTATTCTTGTCAATATCTTGAATGAATATAGTTACCATCACTGCAACGATTTTAGACCATCACAAATTATTTGGAGCAGCCAGAACTGCTGCTCTGCAGATTGCCTGCCAATTCTTGTTGAGAAAATAAAATAAACTTTAGGTGACATGTTATCAGCTGTTGTCTACATAACTATGATTTGTGTGATGCTCAAATAAGTCAGCTCTGTGACTGGCAGCCTTAACAATATTTTGGGGTGGAAGATAAACTGATGCATTCCAAAGTATAATTCCTTTTGTGTCAAGGAGAGTAGCGGTTAGCAACACAATCAACATTTTATTTCTCCACTTAAGGTAGTGTTCCAATTTACAAATAAATCTATTGGAACTGAATCCATCTTTCTTTTTAAAATGCTAAGCCGTATTAGGCTCAGTTTATATTTACACATCTATGGATCTAAGACAAGTAGGCTTCTTTCTGTATAAATGGAATTGCCCACAGGTAAGATTGCCCTACTGTATTTAGTTGTCATTTTCTACACCTATTGAAACTAAAGGAAGATTCATTCCAGTTCTCCTTGCACTTCTTCCCACTCTTTTAAGCAGATTAAAACAGAAGACAAAGGTCTATCTGGTGGAGGGAGGGGGAGAAGCAGCTGAGAAGTTAATATTGCAATTTTCTGTAAATGTATTTAGAAAAAAAAATGCCCTATGGAATAAAGTTGATGTTACTTCCGTGCAAATCTCTGTAGGTTGAGTCTGCCTGTTCCTATGCAAAGGTATATAATATAGTGTAAGAGTATCAAACAGGAATCAATTTTAAAGAAAGATAGATTATATATCACAGCACTATAATTTTGCATTTTGCATTTGCATTTTGCATTTCCCATCTTTCAGAAGAAACAGGAGAAAGCTCATTTACTTTGTCTGTCAAACCATGATAGCATGCACAAAGTATTAAATAATTCAGATTGTCATTGTTACTTACATGAAAACTGAAAAGGTCTCCCTCCAAGGCCACATTGTCTAACCCTCTCCCCATAGAATAGTCCATACTGAATTTCACCAATAAACTTATCTAATTCCTGGCCAGTAGCATTAACCAGCAATGCTCCAGTTTTGCAAAGAATTTTTCCTTGGATCCATAGCTGAGTTCCTATAGCTGCTGCGATGGCCAGAGCACAAGCAAAACTGAACACAGCAGCTATGCAGAAAACAACTTTCTTCTGTTGGGCTGGCATATATAATCCTAGATGAGGCATGCAGAAAAAATGGAAAAATACAATTTCAAATGAAACCTTTAGTAAGGTGGGTTTTGCAGCAACCCTTCTCAATGTTACTTGAGAACAAAGGTTAAAATAACAGATGGAAACCTCCGTGTAATTTGATGAGTGCCCTCTTTGGGTTTGTTTGTTTTTCATAGCCTTTGTCTGATTGGGTGAACTGAAAATTCCAGAATGAGACCTGGCTCTTGGATTAAGTTAGCCACTGTGTGCAATGGGCGAAGAGGTAATGCTTACATTTAAATCAGGAAGAACACAATAAAAAAATATTCAGATTTTAACATTTTATCTTTGCATAGCATTAAAATGTCATTCAGGCAGATGATACGAGGTCTGTTTAATGTTATTATTAAAATAAGGATGACATTGTTCTATTTTATTCTCAGATTGGGCATATGAATGGACAATCAGTAATAACTATTTTACTTCTTGTCACAAAGCCATTCAACTGGATGAGTGCTTTCTTTCAAACAAGGGTTATCTGCAAAATTCCAGATGACCTCTAGGTGCCAGCAAAGAGACGGAAACACTCTCTTTGTTAACATCAACCCTAATTCAAATAGCTTTTCTAGTTAAGCAATTTCATAGTTAAATTAATGTACATCTAAATGTTCTGGTTCCGTTAAATGGAATTGTTTATTATCCCCTAACCCCATTTCTCTCAGTGGCAATGATTTAACTATTTTCAGTTGTGCAGTAGAATCAACTGATTGAACTCAAAGCTTGTAGCTTTTAGATACACTTCTTACTTATTCATTGTAAATCTCTCCCTGGAAATGAAGAAGAGTAGAATAGCACGTAGAACATTGTGTATAGCACATACCTGTTCTTTAATGATGCTTTGAAATGGATTTATGTAAAACCTGGCATTTGTAGAACAGTTTTCTCAATTCCGAGCAGGGCAAATCATCTCTAAAATTTAAGCATGTTGTAGTGCCAAGCAACATATTATATGAATTCTTTCTTTCATTCCCTCTTTCTGGAATAATTCAACCACGGCATTCTTAATTAATTTATGCACATGTAATTATCCTTCCATGTGTAATTTGCTGCCTTGTTCTTTCCTCATACATATTGTAAGAAGTGGGTAGTGGGAAGAGAACTTGTACCAATTCTTATACACAGTCTTCATCTCTAACAGGTTATTCATGCCAACAATTATGTTTATATGTTCAGAGCTCTAAGAATAATAGCTGATTCCAGATATTTTCTTCTTTTCTCCCAAATAACTAATGTTTTGAATGCTGTAACATACACGTACATTTTTGGCCCTTAGTGGTGATAGGTATAGAATAAATTTCTATGAAGAAATTGTATAACATTTGGAGCGATAAAGGTTGCATAGTAGAGAAATTAGGCTGAATCTGGTGATTGTCCATCCTATGACTAAGAACATTTTGTTCTAGCAAAGGATTTCTCTAAATTTTCTGTTTAAAATGCGGATGGAGTCTAGTGCACGTTAACGTGTTAATTCATTTCCAAAATCTAATTTCACATCAACCTTTTCAACCGATAGAAGAGAAAGCATAAATTTATCTTTAATTTCCAGGCTAGCATTTCAAAAGCATCAAAAAGAGAAGATGCAGCCATTCACAAATTGAATCTAAATATGGCACCTTCACATGTCTCAATAATCATTGTTTTCTCTTATTTCCTCATAATGTTATCTTCATGTGATCCCTATCCTACGCCAGAAGTGTTATAGAAGTGTTGACTTTAGTAGTGTTATAGTAGTGTTTTTCCTCTTATGTATATCATCCTATGACCTTCAGCAACAATTCTGTTGGTAGTGTAATCAAGCGACCCAATAAGAGTTGGGATTAATTTATTGGCCACTTTAAACTAATAAAGGAATCCTCTTCTTCTGTCCCTGAGCACCAAAGGCATTCAGATTTAAAACTGGAGATCTCTTTAGGTGTAAGTATTCATCAGGTGTCTGAGTTGACCTTTTGCTTGGAGACCAAGATCACCATAAACAGCAACAGACAAGCAATGGTGGTGAGGAGGGGATTCATAGTGAAGTGGGAGAAGTGTATAGGTTAGACTGGGAACTTGAAAAGCCACCTTATTTGGTCTTGTAATCAAATTTGGTACTTTAATCAAGAAAACAACATGAAAGTATGCCTGAAGTCACTAGGAATAGAGCATAATTTGTTTCCTCAATCAACAATCTATTTCCTTAATTTTCATTTCCATGAAGTGAGAACCATTGTTTCTTTCACATGAAATGGACTGACCATTTCCCCATTTAACCAAACATTTAACCAACATGCATTTGTTTTGACAATATAAAATGACACTTCTGTCATGACAATTTCACTTAAAGTTTATGACACACGTAATTCCATGTATGTGTGGAAAGAAATGAATACAGTTCCGTATTTTGTTAGTTTGGCCCTGACACACTTTGTGCTGTCAAAAATATTTGAAAATAAAGTCTTTGTGTTAAAACTTTAGAAGTTTTTTGGACTAAGAAAATTGTTTGGACTAACTGCATACACACAAATGTGTGGAAATGGTAGAAGAAGGAAAAAGGAGTCAATAAAATAGAAACTGATGATAATGGGATTTTTAAAATTGCCCTAAAATAGAGATGTTATATTGAAATATAAAATGCTACAATTCCCACTGGAGAATTAGTCAACCCAGCATTCAAGTGACTGAAACTCTGTATAGGCACAGGCAACCCGTTCAGAGATTGAATGTACTAATTAAAAAGCTAAATGAATATTTATGTAATCTGTCAGGTGAGAAGATTTCATAGAGCTCTAAATTCAAAAGCTATACTTCATGAACAATAATTGCTTTCCTAAATCAAGTTTTTGCATGTAGCTGTATTACAACATGATCTTATAATATACATTATCTATTGTTCCAAATTAAGCTCCATCATCAAGTACAGGCATTATTTTTATATAATGGAGTTTATTATTAATGTATTATTACCTTTCATTATGAAAGAGTATTTTTTTTTAAAAAAAAAAGAGGTAAATCTATAATGTATGCATAGAGGAATCTATAGAAGAAAGGAGATTATAGCTGATTTGCTTATATCTACTCATATTATTAACTTATAAAATATGAACTAATGTGAGTACTTTGCTGTGACCATCTGCATGTATGGCTTTTTAGGTTAAATACAGTTTTGGCTTCTACCAGTAAATTTTCTTCATTCCTGCCTGGATTTCTGTTTTAAAATATAAAGATTTAAAAAGCATATTCTTTTATGCTACAAAGATTATGATAATCTTTAAAAGATATACAAAGAGTACAGGACCAATTATATAATCTACCACCCCCAGAATTTCTAAGAATTGGTGGAATTGCAAAATTGATCTTTTCCCAGGTTGTTTTTTTTTAAAAAACATTTGAAAGGTTTTTAAAGAGGAAAATGCACAGCACAAATGTTGCAGAGGTTTAAATTTCCATTTAATCTTTTGGCTCCTAGCATGCTTGAGTGGCCTTCAAGCTCACAGAAGAGGCTCAAACTAGATATAGTTGAAGGAAATGCACTAAAATGGGATGCAGTGGCTCAGTGGCTAAGAGGATGAGCTTGTCGATCGAAAGGTTGGCAGTTCAGTGGTTCGAATCCCTAGTATCGTGTAACAGGGTGAGCTCCCATTACTTGTCACAGCTTCTGCCAATCTAGCAGTTCGAAAGCACGTAAAAAATGCAACTAGAAAAACAGGGACCACCTTTGGTGGGAAGGTAACAGAGTTCCGTGCATCTTTGGCGTTGAGTCATGCCAGCGACATGACCATGGAGACTTCTTGGCTCTTCAGCTTTGAAACGGAGATGAGCACCGCCCCCTAGAGTCAGGAATGACTAGCACATATGTCCGAGGGGAACCTTTACCTTTTTAATGCACTAAAATACTGATATAATGTCAGAAGAAAATTCTGGTTCCAAGCCAGGTTATGAAAGGAATGCACTGGATGAACTGCTTGAAAAGGAAGGTAGTTTATTAGTTTAGCATAGGTTACAGCAATTGAGGTAACTACTAAATTGGAGGTCGGAGGCTAGTGATATTTATAGTAAAATTGATCCTTTGCGAGGTGTGGGATCAAGGTCTTTGTTTTGATGGATGTGCCATTCTGAGGGTGACAACATCATTTTCTCATCTTACTGGGTATCTTGATTTCTTGAGTGTATCTGGGGTGTGGGATTTGGGGTACCACATTGTGTAATTTCAAGATTCCTGCATCCTGAAGGGATTTATTTTAATTATAATTAAGTTGCTGGTGTTTGCTTTTCCCAAGGCGACATGCTTTTACCAGTTTTAGCCCCACTGTCAACTAGGGGCCAAGAAGAGCTTAACTGGTCTTTTGCAATATTGTACATTCTCTGCTTGCAATATTGTATATCTTGGTTTCGGTTGAGTCTGCAACTCACTTTTTACAGATGGAGTGTCGGTGCAGCAAATAAATATGATTTTTCTGATGATCACAATTATTCTTCCCACTAGAGTAAATGATGTATCTAGGGATAATTCCTAAAACATTTTTTGCATCACAATTACTCATGACCCTGGCTCACTGTTTCCTTAAGACCCTCTGAATAGAATATGCTAAAGTAACTGAGCCCAAAGAGAAAGACAAACCAAAGTTGCTGCTTTCTGGGTCACTTTAAAATGGCTATAAAAATGGATGCTGGCACAGAAAACTAATTTCAAAATGGAGCCCTTGCAAAGTGTATTCAAATTAAAATATGGTCAGGAAGACGCTGTGAGAGGTGATCTACAGTGGAGCACGAGCAACGTGAAACAATTAAAAATCACAGATAAGCAAAGCCAAAAGATCCCCAAATCTTGTCGGATAATCTACTTAATGGGGAAACTGTAAAATATGATGGACCTGAAACATTCATGAATGGTAGCCAAGGGTGAAATCCAGCAGGTTCTGACGGGTTCTGGAGAACCGGTAGTGGAAATTTTGAGCAGTTCGGAGACCCGGCAAATGCCACCTCTAGCTGGCCCCAGAGTGGGGTGGGAATGGAGATTTTGCAATATACTTCCCCCAGGAGTGGGGTGGGAATGGAGATTTTGCA